GGGAAACAGTTAGAAAGAAAAGTACAAATTCTTTATAGAAATGAAGGTGGTAGCGTTTCAGTGGCCAACAAGGCAAGCTAGCTGTAACAATACATACATTACGCTCTAGAACAACTTACTCCATAATAATAACAAATTGAGATACAAATAATGAAATCAAACCTGACTCGAGTTCAACCTTACATACATTGACTTATTAAGCAGCAAATGCTTTAAGGGCGGAACAATGTATCTTTCCAACTTATTGTCATCGGCCAATCAGCCTCCAAGACACAGAACGAATAGAAGGGGCAGAGGCATAGCAACATAAAATCAAGGGGGCTGTCGGCAATTACATCCAGAAATAGTTCCCCGAAAAACTTAAGATTATGGAGAAGTATACCAGACTTCCTAATAAATTAAGAAAAATTAAAATATGAAAACAACACTGTCGTGCACTCTGGATTTTTGGTTCTGAGCCACACATTCAGATATCCACATCAAGTTCCTGATTTCCTGCTCTCTCAACCTTACATATGCAAAGAATACGCCATAGTGGAACTACAAATAAAAGACATAACAAAGCCATTAATAACAAGCAGGAATTAGAAAGTAGAAACTAGAATTTCCTCTAGATTTAAAATATCAAACTAGAATTTTATCTAATGGTTTTACCACAACTCTCTAGTCTACAAGCTTGTCAGAAATGAACATACCTGCTGCTCAAATGCCAAGCAAAGACGTTTGACTTCTTCCTCATAGAAAGCCTTGTCAAGAATCTGGCTCTCCCCATAGGATAATTTGGAAAATATGGATTGATATGGAGGGTATTTTTCCATGACACCACGAACCTGCAACAGCAAGCAGACAAAATGAGGAAGTGCAATTGAAAATTAGTGCAAACTACATAGAAGATACTAACAAGGGCTAGGCAGAAGACCTCCATTTTAACTAATGAGAAAATAAATAAATAGTTGGGCATGCTGTATGACACGCAATTCAGAACAAGGTTGCTTGCATGGCAAAACGGTTTTTCAAATAGATAGTATTATTATACTCGTTTTCCCTCTTTAACTATAGACCTGTCCCACCTTACTCATTCTCATTCATTGCCTCTGGTGTTGCAGGATAGTTCATCCAATAATTACACTACATCTGTTCAGCAAAAACTCTCTGGTTTAAAAAAACACATGAGATAAGAGAGTATTTAATGCACTGACTAAATGGTATATTTCTGATATTGTCCATCATAAAACCACAGTATTGAATGTATAAACATTTTATTGCAAAATTCTATTTAAAGGGTATTGTTGGTAATGAAATAATAACAGTTTTTAACAGATAGAGGGAAAAGTTTTTGGGGAGAGGGGAAATTGGGTGGAAGTCTTTAGAAGAAGAAAGCAACTTCACACAGAATGGAGTTCAGTGAGAGTGTAGCAGCACCAACTGTTATGGACATCCAACCAGATGAGTAAAAACATATTCTCCATGGGAATTCTATTAGTAAGAGAGTGAAACAGCTAAAAGCAAGCATATACCTGATCAATATCTTCGCAGATAGCAAGCTCCTCATGACCATAAGGATAACTATTTGACAAATAACAGCATCAGAAAGATTCATAGAGGCTCACACACACACACATATAGAGAGAGAGAGAACAGAGCTAATGCACTTACAGTAGACCAAAATTAGAATATAACTTCTTGCGGTCTTCCCTAGTGAGCTCAGTGCCAATGCTGTTAAAAAACCAAATAAGAAAGCAATAAACAAAGTGCCTAAACAGTATGGATAACATCACCAAGAGAATACAGTAGAGGATTTGCAATAATTAATTTCAAGGTCTCTCAAACATCAGAGGAACTGAACTTGTAAATAGCAAGAAGAATAGTTCTGTTCAATCACTGTAGTATTGTGCATCTGTCCAGCATAATCTTGAGAAGAATATCAAAGATGTTGTAAATGACACACCTGTTTATGGTGATATTAACAGCTCTTCTGTCAGCCTCAAAAGAAAGCAAGTCTGACATGATTTCTGCAGTAGCACCACCCAGTTTCTATTTGAAAATTTTCACATCAGATGAAGTGAAAAAAGACAATGACTTCTCAGAAGTATGAGACATTGATATGTTAGAAATTTATAATCCACACCCACCTGGCAAAATTTGTAAAAATCCTCAAGGTATGCCTTGTACAGGGTATTCCTCATAATCTCAATATTCATGTCATCCAAGTCCTGCAGGACACTAAATCACATAACATATACTATTCTATGAAACTAAACACTGGAAAAAGTGTGGATGATATCCCCCTCTTACAAATTTACACAATTTTTTTTTTGAAGTTCAGACTTCTAGAGCTGATTCAGCGTAAATTTGCCAAGTTATGATAATTGATCAAATAAGGAGATATTAATTTGAAAAGCATAAAGTCTATGTTACCTCTGAAGTAATGCACTCAGAGAAATATGGAGCCAAGGGGGTATCAACAAGCACAAGCCTGTAAAGCTCCCTCATATTTTGAGCCACTGCTAAGGAGGCAATGCTGTAAAAATAACACAAAATGAGAGTTGCTATTGGCTAGACAAAAAGGATTACATAGTACTTCTCATGATACCAAATGGGCACTATGAACAATACCTGTCAAACATGCCCAAAGGGTGGCATTTCTCCAACAATTCCTGAACATCTCTCTCATGCAATGTTCCAGTAACAATTAGAACAACATTGTCAATCATGTGACCATACCTGAACCATAGGACGAAATATCAGCAAGGTAAAAGGTCAACCAGTTTACATCAGCAGGGGGACACATGGCAAGCTGGATGAACAACCTATATAAAAAGTACGATCTTGTATTGCCATCTTTATAGTTTATACAACTACCCCACACTATTTTAATAATGCAGACAGTGCATTATTGTCAATTAGAAGTGAATACACGGATGGAAAATGGATAGACAATTTATATGAACAGTGAGTAAGTGATTGCTATAGCAAAAGTCGGTCACCAAAGAAGGCAACTAAAGGCACCTTACAATTATATAATTACACTAAAAAAAGACTAACATTAATCATGTACCAACTTCTACATTAGTAAGCAATGCAAGTGCTGGAAATAGAAATACAAGAGATGACAAAGTTTCAATTCATAAACCTGATGTACTCCAAAAAGGTTGACAAGGGCTCTGTAGCTTGGCATAACATGTGGTTATACTCATCCACGAGTTTAAGAGTGCACTTCTCCACAATTGTAGTTGTGTGTAGAGGAGAAGGTTCTGCAATCAACAAGATCAAAACCATTGAATCTCAGAAATAGACTCCAAAATCATAACAAAAAAGGTTGAAAAACTGTTCATCAGCAGAATGAAGAATCATTGCTAGCTTATAAAAATTCCTTTAACATAGTCCAGCAAACAACATCAATAGATAAACTAATTAGCATTAGTGATCAATCCAAAAAATAAACAAATAAACAACCACCGGAGATGAAGTCAGTTGCTAATATTCTAGCATTATACAACAATGAGCCATACTGGCTTGTAATCCAATGCATCTGCAAGTAAATTCCATCCTACTAAGTGTAATTTCCAGTTGATTCTGAGAATTACTCCTATATCCAATGCCTGTGAACTATAAATTCCAGATCAGAGCCAACAACGCAAAGTATTACAGCAAATTACTGAACAATCAAATTGAATTTTGTATTTGAATCAATAATTCACATTCTAGCGGGGTAATTAATCTGATAAATCAAATTGGATACCGGAACAGACCATTCTGGAGGTACGGGCCGTATTCGGTGGCGGTGAGGTGCATCTTGATGTCATCGAGGGTTTCGCACTGGCAGAGGTTGTTGTAATCGGCGGCGGTTAGGAGACCAGCTCGGTGGCCCCTCACGATCGCCTCCAGGTATCCACTGTGGATGTTGAAGGTGAGCGCTTCGAATCCGTACATCTTTTTTTCTCTCTCGGAGATCGTTATTGATTATAGATCTGAATCGAAATCGAGAGATTGAAAGAGATAATAGAGACCCTTCGAGAAAACCCTTAACCGGTGCTCCAGAGAGGGAGGGGTGACGGGTTCCGATCTTATGAGCGTGGGGTCCTGAAACTCTATGCTGTAGATTTCGCAATAATAGTAAAACGTGCTTTGCCTGAGCGGAATTACATTAAATTTACTTCAAATATATTCAGATATTAATGGTTTATTCAGTAATTTTTATTTGTAATTATTTAATTTTCACCATCCCGATTACAATAAATAAAACATAATGCCCCGAAAGAGTAATTGATTGTGTATAACCTAATTTTTGTACTTAATTTTTGGATCTTCCCACATTTAATTTGGTTGTGATTTGCGAATTATTAAACATGAACGAAGTTTATTTATAATACAAAATATAATATAATTAAAGACAACATTAATCAAGTTGAATAAATTGTTAATTTGATAATGACAATATTACAAATTTGATTTTCATTAGGAGTGATTATTTGACATTATGAATTCTAGTCAATTAACAACAGATAATTTATGTTAGTTTACCTTGATGTTCTTTAATTCTTTGCCGGCTAAAAAAAATTCAATATATACTTTCAAATAGTGATTATAAATTTATATTGGTCAAAAAATATAATACTATTTGTCTATCTTGTGTATCTATGATAAACAAGTTGGTCTGTTTAATAAAAAATTATAATTTATATCCCTCCATAATATGTTTTGTATTATTAATAGTGTAAATGATGTCTTTTAATTTTTAAATATTGTATATATATTATCCTTCTCGTACTGTACAGAAAAAAATTAAAGAACAATATGTATATTATAGAAGAATCAATATATGTATCATTTTAAAAATTAAGAAACAACATTTACATAATTAATCACTAATAATTAAGAAGTGATCTTGACGATGGACGATATAAATTAGAATTTTCTCTGCTTATATAAGTTCCTACATCAGTTCATTTTGACCCAATGAAAGAGTAAATAGCCCATTTGATATTTTATAGGCTTTTAACAGAAAGGCCGACAGCTTTATCCGGTTAGACTCAAAATCAGCCCCAATTGTGATCCGGATGCACAAGGTTCTTGCGATGGATTTGCTGTTATCTTCACTTTCCATTTCTCAGCCTCAACTACTCTGTGAGTATGCTGGGAACTGCACGAAGAAGTTATGTTTTTGGCTTATCCACTGATAATTCTCAGTTTTCTGATCACTCTCAGTAGGGAATTGGCGAAGCAGCGGAGGTTTCGCAATGAGCGCCAATATTCCGAAGAAGAAGAAGCAAGTATGGATATGGACAGAGAACAAGCAAGTGATGACCACCGCCGTCGAGAGAGGCTGGAATACGTTCGTTTTTCCGAAGAATCGTCAAGACATTGCTCATGAGTGGTCATGTAAGCTTATTACTACTCTTTCTTATTTTCTCTGTGATGATCTGAGCTTAGTAAGTAAAATATGCGTGGCAAATTTCATAACAAATTAATGAGATTAAAAGGATTTGATGTCTTGATGGTTCATGCAAACTGCAATTAGATCAAAGGCTACTACTTTTTGCTTTTACTGTCACAAAAGTATTTAGATTTTTAGTTAGGTTATGTATGGTGCAGCAACTGCATTGATATGGCCTCTATTTATTGAAGAGGGAGGGGTTTTTGATCATGAACAAAAGAGGGTTGCTGCCTTTGCGGAGATTTCTTCTCCACAGCAGTTAGAACATTTCCAGCAAATGGATGAGCTAGCTGACAATGTTATTGTTAATCTATTAGATTGGCAGGTATCCCTAAAGGATTCTTTTCTGCAAGATTTATTCTTTTGCACAATGCTAAGAAGATTTGTATGGACTATAAGTGCATTCGGATATTAGTTCCCTCGTTATACATCTTGATTCTTCAAAGCTGGTGTTATTTGCATTTCATAGGTGATACCTGCGGAAAATATTGTTGCAGCTTTCCAAGGCAGTCAGAAAACAGTATTTGCTGTGTCAACATCAACAACAGAAGCTCAAGTGTTCCTTGAGGTAATACCATAAGTTGGACTTTTGCCCACAAAAAAAGTTGTTTTTCTGATGAATCAGTTGACTATTCCAGGATTTCTCATGTCCTCTTTCCTTTTGTGTGTTTGGGGGAAGGTGGGTAATGTACTAATGTAAAAAATCTTTGTTTCCATGGAGCTAGCAAACTGTTAGAGGTGTTCAGGGGCTCTAAACAGTGCAAGGGATTTAGTGTATTTGATTGCATTTCCTAGGTTTCATTACTCCCCCAGAGTACATGACCGACCACTAAGACTCTAGGAAAGACTCTAGGAGGAGAGACCAATCAAATGACTGAAATTCTTTATTAAATTGAGCTTTAATCTTCAAAAGATAATTTGTTGATTTTGGTTTTGTGCTTTATCAGGCCTTGGAGCATGGTCTGGGTGGTGTTATTATGAAAGTTGAGGATGTTGGAGCCATCCTTGAGCTGAAGGTAGTGCTTTCTAAACAAGTTGATTTTCCTTGGTTATGCATACGTTACGATGTTATGATGCGTAGGACTACTTTGACAAAAGACTTGAGGCTGGAAGTTTATTAAACTTGACTAAAGCCAGAATAACAAACATTCAAGTGACTGGAATGGGTGACCGTGTCTGTGTTGATCTCTGCAGCCTAATGAAACCTGGTGAAGGTCTTCTGGTATTCTCCGTCTCCTTTTGTGTACAAAAGGCATTTGTTTTTGACATGAACTTCTTGTGTCTTATTTGACAGTTACTTCTATTACACAATTTCAATCATTTAGGTTGGATCCTTTGCAAGAGGTCTCTTCCTTGTCCACTCAGAATGCTTGGAGTCAAATTACATCTCTAGCAGGCCTTTTCGAGTCAATGCGGTGAGTTTTGGATTAATCCTATTAAAAGTTCCTTCATAGAAATGGAAAGAGATTGAGCAAAGTATTCAACTTTCACTACTGTTCTTCATCGAGTTGAATAAAGTTAATTGCACTAGAAACATTAGCGTAATCTGTGTCCTATGGTATGAATATTACTCTGCTGTTTGCAGGGGCCAGTACACACATACGTTGCTGTTCCAGGAGGAAAAACTAGCTACCTCTCGGAGTTAAAAACAGGCAAAGAGGTTGTTGTGGTTGATCAAAGCGGCATGCAAAGGACAGCAATTGTTGGACGTGTGAAAATAGAGACTAGACAATTGATTCTCGTGGAGGCAAAGGTTAGTGTGTAGACATTGGTAAACTTATAAAGACCCATGATCCTTACAGTCTATACTGATAAACGAGATTATGTGAAAGTGTAGGTAGAATCAGAAAGCCATACCTCTTACTCGATCCTCCTACAGAACGCTGAAACTGTTGCATTGGTGCCTTCTCCTCGAGGTATATGATGACCATGGTGTAAATTTAGTCCCAAAATTGGAAATGTTTCTATTGTCCTGATCGACACAATTGATCTATGCAGGTGAGGGGCGCGAAAGAACAGCAATTCCTGTGACTTCTCTCAAAGTGGGCGACGAGATTCTGCTTAGAGTGCAAGGAGGTGCTCGACATACTGGAATAGAAATTGAAGAATTTATTCTTGAGAAATGATCAAGTTGTTTCAATTGTACATCTGCCTGCCATTTTTGCCTTTTCAAATGTTTTAACATACAAACTCTTTATGAGATTGAAGTATATCAAATGAAGATTAAAAACATCTGCTACCTACAATCAAGCACAAATGGGACAATCCCAGCCAAGTTAGTCGGGTTTGGTAACCACAAGGTTCTAAGTTCAACTCGTCATAAGTACAAATTTTATGATAACTGAACATTGCATCATCATACGACTAAAGATACACTTTTTAGATTTGAAAAAAAGGGCCTAATATTGATCAAAGATCAAAAGGGGTTCAAATTAAGAAGAAAAAGAAGCAACAGCCTAAAATTTGGATGAAAACTTGTATTCAAGGGAGCAATCAATTTGTAGGTTGAGATGGTGGTGCAGCTGTCTTCTTGAAATCAATCTTGTCAACCTTGACTTCTCCATCAATGAGTTCATAAACATATACAACAACGCGCAGGCCATCAATATCCATGAGAACAAAACTTGGGTTCACGTCGTAGGTGATGCTACTATATGCACCAGTCGCAGACCCAGGGTTTATCACAACGCCAGCCTCGTGTTTATAAGCCTTGAACTGGTGGGTGTGGCCACTTACTAAAATGTCGACATCAAGCTGTCTCTGGAGCATGGCTAGCGAATCCAGATCTCCCCATGGAACAACCTTCACAACCACAAAAACCACAGCCTGTTAGGCATTCCTCAGCTTGAGAGACTACAATTAATCTTATCAGATTACAAAAATTATACGGAGCATATAACAATCCTGCTGATGCAAGCATTATGCATCTGTCTACAAAACATTTAAGCTAAACAACATTTCAGAATATCAGTAAAACGAAAAGAATGAAGAAACAAAGACTCGGACAATTATTTATTGAGAATGAAAAGTGTGTCAAGTTGTCCTCTGAATGCAAATAGATATCAGTCATTAGCTTTAATCCATCAAATGCATAGATTCAAACCTGATGACCATGGCATAAACCAAGTTTGAATTGTCCAATAGTGATAGTCTTCGTCTCTGGATATTTGGATTCTTCATCATACTCTCCCCTAGTTATATGCAAGCTAGGGCACAAACTCTTCAAATAATCATGAACCTCCTGCACACAAGAAAATTTCACAATCAAGCTCAACAGATTTCTTCACGGAATGAGAAAATGAAAACGAAAAGTAAGTTCTAATTCTCAGAAGCATTTAGCACATGCTACTGATCTCATCCAACTTTCTAAATGCAAATCATGCTACTATAAATTTATACAATAATCTTCTTAGCATGATGCTTTAGTAGGAAATATACAAAAACCTTTAAACAACCAATTAACATAGGTTAACAAATGTATTCTAAGTAGCTATTGCATTGCTTTTATATCACTAACCAACAAATCCAATTCTTTCTTAACAGTAGCAGATGCTACTCCGTACATATTGTCAATTCTCTTCCCACTTCATCGCAATAATACTATGATCAACAGCCATGACAGTGGAACCTTGAAAAACAAAATCTGTTATGTTTTCTCAACGTGTAGGCTAACAATCATACAAAGGCTGCTACACAACACACTGCATAAACCCTAAAGTCTACACGGAGGATAATCCCCAATTAGAGGTATAAGTAGCAAACTGACTGAGTCAGGTCAACTTCAATTAGGTTGAAAACTGATTGATTTTTAAACCAACAAAAATCGCGAGAATCCCAATGAATCAATAGAGAGAAGTGTACTTTGATGCAGAGATTTCCAGTGCAAATTATGTGTTGAATCTTTCCCGGGACGAGCATGGACTTGAACTTTGCCGGAAGATCAGCGGCTCTGTGAGGGATATGCAGATCACCGATGGCTAGTACCAACACCATTTTTAACAATTGTTTTTTCCGCTCAATCTCCCAATCTGTGAAAGTTTGCGGCCCTGGAAATCAATTCAGAGTTAAACAAAAAGAGAACGAGGGAGATAAAGTGAGAGACTACGAGGGTACCTGCAATTACGGAAATCTGGGCAACCCGAAAAAATTCGAATTTTGGGGTTATTAATTTGAATAATTTCTACGTGACGAGAATCAAAATGGCCGAGTCTGTCACCAGCCAATCATTATTGTGTGGACCATGGTCTACACAAGTTGTGTAGATCATATTTTGTCTACTGTAAAATAATGTACATTTAATACAACAATAATGTACATTCAATACAAAAATAATGTACATTATATTCAGGGGATGTACATTATTTTTGTTCTGAGTGTACATTATATTGTACAATGTACATTCAGTACAAAAATAATGTACATTTAGTATAATAAAAATGTACTTTTTGTTATGGTGCACATAACATTGTGTGGACCATGGTCCATACAATAATTTGCCGTAACCAGCCAATCGTTATACCGTGCACCACGGCGCACATAGCATTGTGCACCCCACGTCTCTCAAAACGACGTCGTTTTGTTAAGTTGTTAAAAAAAATCATCTGTTTCAAATGCATATAAACTCATAACAGAATACACATAAACTCATAACAAAATACACATAAACTTTTAACTGAATACATATAATAGGGTTTGGCCTGGTTAACATAATACACATAAACTCTTAACTGAATACACATAAACTCATAACATAATACACATAAACTTTTAACTGAATACATATAATGGGGTTTGGTTAACATAATATACATAAACTCTTAACTGAATACACATAAACTCATAACACAATACATATAAACTTTTAACTGAATACACGTAATGGAGTTTGGTCTGTTCGGACGGACGGAGTGACGTCAGCAAGACACGCGCGCGTTTTGTGCCTAAGCGCACATTGTTATGTGCGTCGTAGTGCACGATATAAATTACAGCTATAGATGTAAGCTGTACCAAATGTGATTTTAGAATTGAGGAAGTTAAACATGATTCTTATATTAACTGGTTGGTTGGTGGGAGGAAATTAAGTGGAAATGAATTACTCCGTATAATTTTATAGGAGATGAATAATGTAGAATATAGTAGTAATTTAAATTTAGTGTTGAGTAAATATCACTTTTGGTCATTTGACTATCATAGCTAAAGCATATTTTGTCTTTGACTATTGCTTTTTCAAATTGGGTACATGACTTTCTAACTAGTATCACTTTTGGTCTTCCGGTCTAATTTTTCAGTCATATATTATCGAAATTCCAACCAAAAAATAATATGTTATAATTAGAAGGATATTTTGATCTTTTCAAATTTATTTCATTTTCTTCTTTTATTTTTTTTCTTCTTCCCGCTTTCTTCCCCAGCTCTCCAAAAGTTATGCATAACCTGAACTAGTCATTGATGATCCTTAACTATTTTATATCTACTTGTTTGGCTCAACTAGGTAGATAGATGTACAATTTTGTCGTAAAAGAAACATAGAATGCTGAATGTCCAACCAACCACCAACCCATGAAGTCATGAACCCAATAGACAAATAAAAGACAAATAATGTACCAATTAATTAAATTAAATTATACCAAAATATACAAAATTCATATATAAATTAGATATATCTAATATTACCATTTGTTTTCGTACATGCATCTAGCATTACCATGTTATCACCCCCTCAAATATTTCCAAAATAGTTGATAATTGTTTCTTGATACATGCATCATTTCAGTACCAGATTACATCTATTCTGGTGTCTTCGATCATCGGAGATTGACACACGTAACATGACAGGTCATTTATTAATACAACATCTCAAAAGCTATTGTGAAAAAACTAAAAATATACTTCTGTTTATTTGGATTTGAATTATGAAAAGCTCCATAATAATATTAACAATCTATAGACAAATAAAATTAAATATTATTATAAAATTCATTTTCGACGAAATTTATAAGTAGGTAAAGTAATCAGGTGATAATAACCTGCCCATTTAACAATTCCGAATACCATTCAAATCCCAAATCAAATGGGTCTGGTTGCAAATTAAAGGGAGTGAGAGTAAGTTATTTTTTGGGTAACTTATTAGTTGGATAATTGACTTGATAATTACAAAATTTGAAGTTTGATTCTTTGTAGAAATTACATATTGACCTTCTCGTTTTGAGACCAAACAACCTAGGTCAGTTAAATCATTATGTTCTTTTGTTGGCTAAGGTCACAACTCACAAAGTGAGTTATAGTCTTATAGACAACCTAAACTGATTTATCTGCTTTTGCTCCTTTGCCGATTAGGTCACAATGCAAATGATGGCGACATATTTTCTCGTAAATCAAATTAAGGTAATTTTTTCCAATTTATTATTATTACTAGTTTTTTCTATGCGCGATGCGCAAAAACATGTGTCTAATATTTATATCTTTTAAAATAACTAACAAATTCCTACTAATTAAAAATTTAAAATCTATATGAAATCCATTTTTTATTATAATATAATCTAATATATAATGTCTACAAATATTATTATCATTAAAGAATATATAAGAAAATATATGGTGGATGCATATGCATGGTAACAATAATGGAAAAGATAATGGAAGTTATAACGGTAGGGGTATTTTTGTCCAAAAATCCAAAAAATTATATAGTACAATTCTAAAAGCATAATGTACAAAATGATTAGCATTAAAAAAACATTAACATAAATGGGGAATATAACTTTGATTGAGACTTATTATGTTTTTAGATTATTTTTTTTTTTAAAAAATTGACTTCTTAATTTATAAGGTACGTAGTGTTTAATTATAGATTAAAATTATACCCACTAAATTCCATAATGATAAGAGTTGAAGTAAAACCTACTTTACTTCATCGGCTGAACCATGCATGCAATGATGTATTATTGGTTAGTTACTGTACAGATCTCATAACTTAATACACCAAACTTCATTTATTTACGTAACATCCTAGCTAACACTAACAGAATCATCAATCTAGTACATACTAACATTAAACTATTTAATTAACTAAATACTCACATTTGATTATATTATAATATTTTTTTTTCACATTAAATTTAACCTATAAACACCAATATAATATGTTGAATTGATGGTTAAATAGAAATCACTCGTCGTCCTTCCTCTTAAGTCTTTGCAAGTTTGGTATTTCGTTGGAAGGAATTTAATTCAGTCGTTACTTTTTAGATATTGTTTTCTTTTTTTGACATTTAATTAGATTATGGGGGTTATTCAAAAAAATAAATAAAATTGTGGGGTGTTTGGTAAATAGTAGTTAGTTGATTGGGTTAGCAGGTTTGACTAGTTGATAATATTAGTTGATTGTAGAAAAACGTTTGATAAATTAGCTGATAGCTTATTAAATATCAAATGACTTTTTAAAAAAGCTGTATTGAGCATCTTTTTAAATTTGTAGTGTTTTTAATAATAAAATGTTACAAAAAAACTAATTAATCAAACACTCATATTAATTGTTTAACCAAGTTAAACAATTAATAATGGTCAAACTGGTCAAAACATGCACAGATGCGTGAGAGTGCTTACATCATTTGCTACGAAATGCATGCACATTGGGGAATTAAAACAAAACATTAAAAAAAAATAATAATAAAATAAAAAAATAAAAAACCATACACGGTTGTAATCCTTTAGTAAATGTGAATTGAATTTATTGAATAAAAATCGTGATAGACTGATTTTATTGTATTTATTTTAGTAGACATTGAAAATGGTAATTTAATTTCCGAAACAATAACTATGCCGTATATGTTACTTTATTGAAAATATATGCTAATAGTTTCTTCATTTGTCATTACTCTTATCATGAATAGACAATTTAATTTTTAACAAAATTGACTAAGAAATATGCCATTTCACCAATTTGTAATGAATTATAAGAGATATGTACTTCAACCACTAATGTGGTTTACAAAAGCCTTGTTTAGTAAATGGCGGTTAACTGTTAGCTGATTGGGTTAATTAAAAGATATAATTAGTTGATAATATTAGCTGATTGTAGAAAAGTATTTGGTAAATTAGTTGTTAACTAATATTTGTTTGTTATAATTTATTTTCTAAAAAAGCTAATTGAAAAAGTTACTCTGAACAACTTTTTGAAGTTTAGCATTTTAGAGTTACAAAAAACTAATTAACCAAACATTTATGTTGATTTTTTAACCAAGTCAAACAACTAATAGTGATCAAAATTGACTTATAAGGCTAACTATTTTACCAAACATGACCATTTTTTTTTTAAAAAAAAATAATTTGTAATATTCATTTCCTTTTATTCAACTATTTATAAGAATTATTATGTTTACTAATTACACATCCCAAATTTCTAATTTTAATGTAATATGCATTCAGTTAAATTTTAATATAAAATTATACTAGAAATCTCATTTGCTATACCTTTTTTTTTTTTTTTTTTTTTTTTTTTGGGTTTTGAAAAGTATTTGCTATACCTAATGAATAATACTATATCAATTTCACTTTTTTTTAATAATATCTTATCATAACAATATAACTTATATTTTTATAATAAATCGCCCGAGCATTGCACGGGGTGACATACTAGTATTATGAATAGACAATTTACCAAATTAATTGAGAGGTGTACCCCATAGTTATAGATGGCTAACTCAAACTTGAAACTTTATGATTGTCAAGTCAATTGTTTCATCATTGTTAATTAACTAAATGTATATTTACTAATTTTATGTTTAAATTAAATAATTTGAAACACACAAACATATATATGGACATGACCAAATGAAAATCACATTTTTCCTGTGTGAACGTGCGAACTACTTATTGAATCTTGTAATGTCTAATTGTGCATTTACAAATAAGTTATTGTGCATCCTGAAAACACATTTCTGTAATTACTTTTCAAATTACGATTGTGCATATTGTACAGTTGTACTGTATAATTGAGCATTTCTATATAGCCTAATATAGTAAATAATTAATAAAGAATCATTTTAATGTTTTTTGGGTTACAAGTTTAAAAAGTTTCTATAGTAGCGGAAAGTCGAGTCACGTTCTTCTGTCAAAATTACAAGTTTAAAAAGCTTCTATAGTAGCGGAAAGTCAGAGTCACATTCTTCTGCCTAAATTATAAATCTGGACTATCAACTATATTGGGATAAATTAAAGGGATAAAGTACAAATAAGCCACTGAACTATTTGGGAAACAACAATTAAGCCATCGAACTCAAATAACCATCAAATAAGCCATTGAACTCAGAAAAAAAAAAGAGCAAATAAGCCATTGAACCCTGAAAAAAAAGAGCAATTAACATTTTTATAGGTTAATTCCAAGTTTTTTGCTGATTGGATTGCCAAATCAAGAACTAAAATGATGAATCACTATAGTTGAGAGACGGTTTAACAATTTACTTTATTTTTCTCACATAAAATGTTGATTTTTAGAGTAAATTATTTTTGATAGTATAAGAATTTATAGGGTGTCTACAAATGTTGTAGGGGTCATTTGACCCAAATTTGTGTTAACATTTTAGCAGCTATTCCTTCCGTCCTATTTTATATATCGGGTTAAGTTAATGAGATTTAATTGGAGTTATTTACAATTTAATTTTTCACAATATTAAGTGTAATATTAGCATATAAAATTTATATATTTAGAAATTACATTAAAAGTACTATTAAACAAAAAAAATCAAATTAAAAAATTATAAGAAAATGTTAATAGAAATAAGCAAAGAAGAAAGAGTTGGTTTGACGAATGAATGGTAAATAAAACATATAAAATGAGACGGATGAAGTATTTTTTTTTCACTTCCCATGTAAAGAAGGAATTGTAGTTTGTAAGTTGAGTCATGTGTGTGTGTTTTTTTCTTTCCATTTTTTGTTTTTGGTTGTAAATTTGGTGTATTACCTTAGGAATTGTAATTCTACCAATTTTAAACATTGTGACAAGTGATTTCCTTCTTATCCTACCAAACGCTACCTAAGTATCGGAGTTCGACCAAGGATGTCGGGCCAAGTTATATGGGTCAGAAAAGGGCTTGTTTGTTTTCTCTCATATCTTCCCCACTGGTTTTCAGTTTTCACCACCTCTCATTTCTATCCTTTCCAAACCCCTCCTTCCCTTGTCCACTCTCCCCTGTCTTTCTACTTTCTTACCCTTTTTATGCCTCTCCATTTTCCCCCTTTCCCTGACAGCTTCTTCTCTTCTTTCCTTCCCATTCCCCCCTGGATCCTTCGATCATCGCGAGTTTTTTGTTCGTCTTTCGTTAATTCCAGTAAATGTTGTTTAAGGAAATTGTGGGTTCTTTAATTATGGTCTTTCTGCTTTCGTCTTCCTTTTCTGAAAAGGAAAATCGAGTCCACATGTGGAGTTTGATTATTGAAGCAGTAGTATAATAGAAGAACCTTCGCGCTCTTTATCGATCGGAGTGATTCTTTTCTTAAACTCTGCAATGGATGAACAGTTATCTTTGTATTCTCAATTTCCCCATTTTTAATTTCCTTGATTTTCGGTAATCTGCTGGATCAGATGGGAATGTTGTTCTTGTAATTTTTATTTACTTCAATTAAAAATCCGATCAAATTCTTCAATATCGCGCAACGGGCGTTACGAGTGTGAAGAAATCAATAATGGGTTGTGCGAGTTCGAAGCAGAGAGTGTGCCGGAAATGCCAGGCGGCGTATTCTCCGGTGCGGCGGAGCCACTCGATGCACTGGCATCAGCCGCCGTTGAATGACGTGGAAAGTGATCACGTGGTTGCGCTCACTTCCTCCACCCTTGGATCTTTAATGCTGGATCCTCTGAATCAGAATTCCGGCGAAGAAGAAAACGGCGGCGGGGTTACCACCGTCCAAGCTCCGTTTGGTAGTGTAAAGAGTGTTTCTAGTGACGAGTTCGCGGCGGGGTTGACAGAAGCAATGACGTGGTCTCAGATGATCGACAAGAAGATTGGCGGCAGAACTCCGGTGTCCGGCGAGCCGGAGATGATCAACGCGTGGGAGTTGATGAAGGATCTTGAAGATATTAGCCCTCTGAAACCTTCACGAAGCCATGCCCGGAGCTTCTCCTTCCATGTTTCTCCAAATCCAATGTTTTATCCTCCCATTCCTAGGACGAAAGACGACACAGAAGCTTCCCCGAAGCAACAATGGTCGTCGTCGGAGGTCGCCGATAACGAGTCGAATTCCACGTCGGCTTCAAACGACACATCCGTCGGCTTCGCATCGGAGTTTGACCCGGAAGTGATCGCGACTTTCAGAAAAGCGCTCGCCGAGCTCCCGCCGGCGACTCCGTTCCGTCTCAAACCACTAGCTCCCGACAACATTGATAGCCCCGAAGTAATCACCGACTCCTCCGACCACACCAAATCACCACCGGAGAGTGGTAATAAAAACAGAGTGATCGTCTACTTCACCAGCCTCCGAGGAGTGAGGAGGACGTACGAGGATTGTTGCTACGTAAGAACAATTCTGCAGGGACTAGGAGTCAAAGTTGACGACAGGGACGTGTCAATGCATTCCGGCTTCAAGGACGAGCTTAAAGAGCTTTTAGGCGAAAGCTATGGCGGCGGCGGCTTGCCCAGAGTGTTCGTCGGAAAAAATTACATCGGCGGAGCGGACGAAATCCGGCGAATGCACGAGGACGGGCAGCTGGAGAAGCTAGTCGAATTCTGCGAAACGGTGGACGAAAGCGGCGGCGGCGGAAAGAGCGGCGATTGTGGGGCGTGTGGCGATATCAGGTTTGTGCCATGTGAGACGTGTTCAGGAAGCTGTAAAATCTACTGCGAAGGTGGCGGCAATGGTGAAGAAGACGATCAAGAGTTTGGGTTTCAACGCTGCCCAGATTGCAATGAAAATGGACTGATTAGATGTCCAATTTGTTGCGATTAATATTACCCAACAACGTTAGTTTTTCCTAATTACATAGCGTTTTGGTTGTCCCTATGTTGTGCAGAAGTTTTCAAATGTTAATTACAACATTTATGAATTGAAACATGTTTAATTTTACAGGTATAAATATACTATACTAAATATATATCATCAATGCACCATTTTCTGATCAGTAAACATCTATCTTAGGGATGACAATTTCAATCGGCCCCGTAGATATTCACCTGAATTCACTCCGCATGGATCGAGTTTTTTGGATGATGGTGGGTGGTGGGTCGAAGGTGGGTCTTAAAAATGTAAACCTACAGTGGGTCGGGTTGGATTCAGGTTCTATGTGCAAATCTATGTGTAAAACCCGCTTAGAACCCCACCCGACTCACCATGTGTGATCTATCTTGTTGGGCGGAGGCCGGTAATGTCTTTTAAGGTACTAACCCAGCAGACCAGCACTCAATCTGTCTCGAACAATATAATGGTGGTCTATAAGTAAGAGAATAAGTTACGCATTCGCTACCAGCTATAGCTTTTGGTGTGAGTAGTAAGCGCTTAATCCTAACAAGTGGTATCAGAGCCAGATCGCTGAAGAATTGTTGGGTAGGGCCAGTAGGCCTGAGTGGTATGCCCTAATCATAACATATTGATTATGTGTGTATCAGTGTATCACTATATATAATTGCGCAAACTATACAAGAAAAATCAATCGTACTAAGAGAAATATGTGTGTCAAACTCGATTAAGAGAGGGTTGCCAATTGATAAATTTCTCAACAAAAGAGTTTGCACATTGAGAACATGGTTTTGAGATGTTTGCAGTCCTGCAAAAGTAGTTAATGTTGCTTTATCTTGTTTAAGACTCCTTTAAGGAACATTGGTCCCTCAAGGCTAGCTTGCACTGCTATATATAATATATGATTAAACAACTTAGCCAAGAATCAAGATGGTGACAGTGTGACTGACACTGCCACTCAAATGACTCCATTAAGAATGCACAAAAGGGGAAAAAACAGATTGGAAAGCATCAAAATGGGGTGTTGGGATTATTATACTTTTGGATCCTTTTTCTTGTTCCATCAACTTAATCATTCTCCTCATTTCATTCACCACTTAAATACAATATACTAAAAAATAAACAAATATATACAACTACAGCCCTTTGATCTTATCTTTTGGAAAAAATAAGAAAGTTTTGTGGTTTAACATATTACGGAGTACATATATATCACCACTCCTTAAGATTGTTATTTTTTGGTTGATATGAATGGTCATTTCATTCCTTGACATAACCACAAAAACAAAAAGCTGATGGAGTTATCATTATTATGTATTGTTGATTGCATATGTACTACTGTTAGTTAGGAGTGTTACGGGCCAGCTCTAAACTGCTCCACGGTGGGTGGGTCAGGGCCTAGAATTTTTTGTCCGCAAAAATGTGGGCCTTGCGGGTTGGCAGGTTGCGTGAGCTGGCCCGCGAGCTTTCCTAAATTAAAAAATAAATTTTATATATATATATATATATATATATATATACACACACACACACTAAAATATTAAAAAATGTAAAATTTTTAAAATTTTAAATAAGAAAAAATTTAATATTATTTAGGTTAAATTATTCGAATATAAAATAATAAAATAATATTTTTTAATTTTTAAAGGTAAGCCCGCAGGACCCACGAGCCCGCATGGGACGGGCTTGGGCTAAGTATTTTCCAGCTTGCGAGCTTCGCGGGCTAGCCCGGCAAAAAAAAAAAAAACCGTTGTGGGGCAAGCCTAATGAGACCGGCCGGCTTGCATTGACACCCCTTACAGTTTGTGTTGAATTATTGTTTCAATTAGATTACAATGTTTGAGTGAATTCACTTCCCTTATAATCGGGTCAAAATATATTTAGATCCTCATTTGATGCGTTCAAAAATGAACAGTCCATTTGCCACCAATTGTCATCAATCTCTTTGGATAGTTATGCTGTGCATGTATGGTGCATACGGATGTCAAAACGACGTCGTTTTATTAAAAAACACGCGTCTCCCCTTTAAAAATAATTCAGGTTCGATTCCCAGCAACAACATTATATTGTTCATTCATTCTGGAATTTTAGTTCATAGATTATGGAATTATAGTTCATTGATTATGGAATTATAGTTCATCGATTATGGAATTGTAGTTCATCGATTCTGAAATTTTAGTTTATAGATTATGGAATTTTAGTTCATTCATTCTGGAATTTTTAGTTCATAGATTAGATTATGGAATTATAGTTCATCGATTATGGAATTTTAGTTCATATGTTGTTGCTGGGAATCGAACCTGATTTTTTTTTTTTTTTAAGGGGAGACGCGCGTTTTATTAAAATGACGTCGTTTTTGCATCCGTATGCACCATGCATGGTGCATACGGATGCACAGCATAATTTGCCAATCTCTTTTATCAATTCTAAAATCAGTTATTCATTGTTGGGCCTCAACATTATAAATAGACTTACGAGAATGTTTAAGGTAGCCCAAAACACCCCACTTATTAGGCCCATTGTTTATCACTAAGATTATATTATATATGGGCTTTGACATCATTCTCCTCTTCTCTTATCATTAATTGTTGAAACAATGAAATATATGCTTTAGCACTTAGCATATCCAAGCTAGATTTGCACCTCAACCAAGGGTTCTACTTTTCTTTAATTTTCTCAATCCCGTTCTTTAATTTTCTCAATCCCGTTTGGTAAATCGCAGAATATATCTTATCTTATTGAATAAAAATTCGAAATCGGTTTCTACCTATTTTTTTTTTTCCTCAATTCCACTATGATTAAAGAGTAAATCACGAAATATATCTCAATAATTCTCTAGATGTAATCTCTCCGAACATCATTGTCCAGATTAGGGAGCGATTGTCCATTTGTCCATCATTGATGTTAAGCAAGTCGTAACTTCCCAAAACCAGCTAGCTTTTGCCGTGGGTTACGTATCTGGGTGGCTGAACAGTGCAAACAATTCGCAAATAAAAACATGTCTTTGATCTTGTGTCCTCTCCCAAGGTGACCATACTACGTTGTGAACAGCACGCAACATAATATCACTGTCCTTATCATCCACGAACCCGACCTGGCATTACGTATATACTCTCCCTCCTATTTTATTTATCTGATTCAGTTAACAAAACTTGACTCAAGTTATTTTTATTTCAATTTTTTTATAATATTATGTTTTGTATTACTATATAAAATTTATATATTTAAAAATTACATTAAGGGTCCGTTTGGAAAACAAAAAAGATAACTTCTGAAAAATTTTTCTGAAGAATGAGTCATTTCCAGAAAATATTTTCCTTTTCCATGATTAGTTGCATTTGAAAAACTGCATTGGTGTGTTTGATTATTTTTTAAAAAATGAGCAAAATTGTATAATTAAACATTTAAAATATTTTATTTAGAATAAAAAAATATCTAGAAAACATTTTATTCATCAACTAAAACTTTGGTTGTGATTTGTGCCATCACTGCACACCTATATAATGGTGTAAAGAACATGTTAGTTCTGGGAGCTTGGGTGAAGGGATGCACACCTATATAATGGTGTAAAGAACATGTTAGTTCTGGGAGCTTGGGTGAAGGGATGAAGCATAAATGGAGGTAATGAATGTTGGCGGAAAATGACTTCCGCTAAAATTTGGCGGAAGTAACTTTTAGCCAAAATGCTTTCATTTTCTGCAGCAGTGAACATAAAATATTTTCTGTTGATTGGATTTTCCTATTGCATCTAGCATTGAAAACTCGAAAAATATTTTTCAGAAGTTATTTCCTGAATTTCCAAACGGACCTATTATTAAACACAAAAAATTAAAATTTAAAAGTTATTAAAGAAATAAGCGTTATCAATGAATAGTAAATATGACAGACAAAATAATACAGGTGAATGGAGTATATGTTTTGATTGATTTGGACATACCATACCGGCCGGATTTATCTCAACCTCGATCGTCGAAAGCTACCATACATAACGTCGCTCTTGGTTCCTAGTCCTTTCCGTTCTTCAAGGGATCCGGCCCGACGCTGTCGTCTACGGACCACATATAAAGACATCCTAAGCTACTCACAGGCCCGCCAACGGAAAAACCTAATTCATCACTAGTCAACTCTGTATTGCATAATGGCATGGGAAGTTGGGAACATAAATAGACGTTGGCGGAGCTTTCCTTCACAAGCTACCACACTAGTATTAATATTCCAAAGGCAAAAGAACAAAGTTGTGGTGTCGTTGTCACAATATCTAAAAACCATGTTTATTATATAGTCTACTATACATGTTCAATCACAAGCTGTTGAGGCGGAGGCTATAAGGGATTGGATGGTGTCTGAACAACTCCCAAGTAATTAAAGCACTGGTGATGATCTTATCTTGGCGATACCAAGTTAAATGTGCTGAGTTTGGAGTGGTTTGTGCGGGATTATTAAATTTGGCTGGTTCTTGGACAGAACCGTCGATGTAACTGAGGAGATTAAGGTCAATCAGTGGGGACTGAATTTGGTGTCTCTAGCATAAAGGAAAGCTGATGGAGGTGGGTTTGATAGGGAAGTTAAATGGAGTATTAAGCTGGACAATTCATTGGTGGTTGTAGCCATGGATATAAAAATGGCCAAAGAAAAAAAAAAATAAATTTCTTAATACCATGTAAGGGAATGAACTGTATATTTATTGATGTAAACAACCTGCTATAAATAGTATATGAGAATAAATAGCAGGGAATTATAACAAGTATTCTAACAGTTATATGTTTTATTAATGGTGATTTTGACCGGTTGTTTAGATGTAAAACCAACACAACGAACCATGCCCCGTTCATGCAAAAGTGAATTTTGTGTCAATTATTTGCAATTCAATTATGTTCTCTATATACATGATCAATTTGTACCTTCCACATCGGAACACTTATATACCGTTAAAACATTACAATGTTTTATATATATTATTTATGACAAATAATATTTGTATGCCGGGCGAATTAATTAAACTATATATATTTTTTACCCTACACATACATATCCCCCTGGGCCCCCTCCCTCCCCTTCGACATCTCATGGTAGATCAGACTTATTAGGGAATCCAAGAATATATACACTAATATGTACACATAAGATTTGTGAGATCTGTTGGCAAGTGGCACCAGGCCATTTTACAAGTAAATTAAAGTAAAAATGAAGACTGAAACTTGACCATCGATGAATATTTACTGTCATTGGTTTTACATCTTATTAGGCAGGTGATAGTCAACTGATAGAAGACTCAAACTTGACCATCGATGAATATTTACTGTCGTTGGTTTTACACCTTATTATGCAGGCGATAGTCAACATATACTGTAAAGACTTAGTTAGTGATTGTTATTTTGTTATTCTCTTTTGCCTAGTCCTCAGGTTTTTCTGTAACTAGTTCCCTGTTTCTGTGCTTTGTTCCCTATTTATTCCTTTGTTGGATAGTGAATAAATCAATTTAGTTGTCCCTCTCACAGATACAACCGATCATAAAAGAAAAAACAAGAAAAAAAAAAACTGCATAATTGTTGCAAAGTGTTTATTGCTTTAGTAAAAATGTGTTCTAACCCCTTACTACCGTTACAAGTCTTTTTCTATGGTACTTATACAGCTCCAACTTAATTATGGCACACAATTTAAATTAGGAAAGTAAATAACTCAAATCGGACACATTAACTACAAATTGATTGTCAGTAAGAATTAAAAAATAAAAAAAAATTTCGTAAACTCAAAAACAATTCGTTCACACCCTCCATTACAAAAATAGATAAGCACTCCACGCCAAACCACTTGTACTCAACCCATCAACTCTTATTAACAAATAGCTTTAATAATTTGCATTTAATAGATAAACAAAAGCTTAATTGCATAACTAGGGTAGACATGAGATCTGACGGTCGATCTGTCGTTTAGCGTCAGCTCCATATTCTAAATCTTGGTTTGCCATCAACAATCTTCTTGAAAACATAACATATATATATCGTACATCGCATTGAATGCTAGCTAGCTAGTAGCGTACTTTAACGTTAACTAAAATGCCTTTTGTCGTATCCACGTTAATAAATACGTAGAAAATCTCGAAGATGTAGCCAACTTCAACTGCGTACGCTATGTCTAAAGCCCATATAATAATAATAATAATAATATGAAATGTTGCATGCATGCATGTATTAATGCATAGCCCACATAGATAGCTCAGATTAGTTAGTTGGGTAAAATTTAAAAATAATGATTCAGATTAAGTCTCACCAGCTACAGTGACTTTGAGAACAACAATATATAGCAAACATTTTCTTATTGTAAAAGGAAATCTTAATTATACCAATTAAGCGCCCGCACATAACCCATGACGAGGATTAATTAGCTACAAACATATATTTCACCACTCCTAATTAATAAACGTACGTACGTGCCCTACTACAACCTACAAACATATCGAGTTGGCCAGCCAGGACTCGGGACACCAAGCCACCCACAAGATCGAGATCGAGATCGAGATCGAGATCAGTATCCCCTTATGATAATGGGGATACGATTGATCATATATAGATATAGATATAGATATATATAGTATGATATGACTGTATTTATGTGTAATACAACAACGATTACGTAATCAAACTCCTGATAATTGCAGCCTCTGGGCTGTCAGCATCTATGGTGGAGAGGAGCTGGGAGAGACGGTCGCTAAGATCGTCAACTTCTCTGTGCAAACTTCTTATGTAGTTGCAAGTCTCCTGAAGCACCTTTGATGCAGACGCCTGCAGTTTCATTAATTAAAAGGTCCAAGAATAATGTTACTTTTGTTGTCAGGAAACATAAAATCATATATGATTTCATACCAAAACCTCGTCGTAACAAAAATGTAATACTTTTCTCTTGACCCGTAATGAGAAATGTAGCGTGAGTACCACAATGTTAACCTTAGACGTACTTACCATGGACCATAAATTTATGCTAAGGGTTCAAACATGTACTTTGACAGTTTGACATATATATACATTATATATTGTATGTACAATAAGGGTAGTGATGGCCCGCATGAATAGCTCGGTTAACTTTTGAGTGATAGATTGTGTGAATAGAGCCCTAGTCAATCCCAGTATAGAAGTTTCAGTTCACCTATATGAGCATTCAATATTATCGTGATTTACCCTTCCATAATTCTGTTGCTGGAATGTAGGGCTTACGGTGTGAGGAATTTTGCCTTTTGTGGGCCCTACAGGCGTGACAAGAAAATCATAGAAAGTTGAAAGCATGGGTTTTCGATCTTACTTTTCTATCCCTCTCAACATATTTATGCATGGTGGCCATACTTTCTGGAAGCATGTAAGTTTTGACAAATTCAAATTCAATTATGGAACGAGTGTCAATTCACATCTCTAAGTCTAAACCCATAAAGTTACACCCTGCCTTTTCCTTTCCCGTAGTGCACCCACAACGTCGTATAAAAACTTTCCCGTAATATGAAACCTTGATTTCATCACAGACACACATACATACGGCGCTGCTAACCTTGTACTATACACTTACAATATGTCGATCCATTACTGTATACCTCGCAATTTACCTTTTCTAGCTACTTTTAAACAGGAATACTTTTAGAAGCGCTTAGAATTAACAGCACTGCTGAAAATTATGAAATTTCCGACCACCTGAAAGTGATCTTATATCAAGTTAAAAGCAAAAAGTGGTCGGAAATAGCAACAAAGGTTTGTCCGGATACCAAAAGTGGTCGGAACAAGACTTTTGACTTGATTTAAGATTATTTTCAGGTGGTCGGAAATTCCAAAATTTTCAATAGTGACGATCTCTTAAGTAGGGATTCTGGGTATTTAGGATTATTCTGAGCTAAGTTGGAAAACCTAATGTATCTGAACAGGGAGAATGTATGGTACCTTGGAGGAGCGGCGGCTGCGGAGCTCCGGCAGGAGCTGCTGCAACTTGGAGACGAGTTCGATGATCTGGTCGTCTGAAATCCTGGAAGTCCCCGAGGACGACTGCCTTGATCTTCTGCTAGACATCTTCTTCCTAGAACCTAGTATAGCTAGCTCGAACAGTACAGACAACGTTAGTAAGATGTAACCTGCGATTCTTGTGGTTATTGTTGCAGAGGATGATAATGTGAGGTGTTGTGTTCTTGAGTGAAACTAAAGCAGGAGAAGAGAGTGAGGATCTGAAAAGGAAAGAAACAGCAGCTTAGGTTGTGGGAAGTGATCTGAGGACGATGAAGAAGGGTATGGTAGTTAGATATTGACTAAGGAGAAAGTGATAACTAACGAGCTTTAAAGGGGCGAAGGACCACAAACCAAAGAAGAGAGAGAGACAGCGATGTTGGATGGTAACAAGACAATTGCTTTGGAGAAAGTAGAGAACGACCCCTTCCTGTTAAGTAAAGTCGCTCCCTTCCAATTCATGAGGACCAGGGAAGTATTAGCATTAGTCTTGAGAGAGACCGTCTCACCGTCCCACACTCGATCACATTCTCAATCTGCATTTTGCACGATAAGACTAATTCAGTTGAGCTGAGATTCAGTTCAGTCCAGTCGTCGCATTTTGTTCGATCAGAAACATCTGTCTTTCTTTTAAGGGAGTTGCTGCATACACATTGTCAAACATCATGCCATATATGTCATATGTGTGTTTTCAACTTTTCTTTAAAAGGGATTGAGGATCTAGGGTTGAAACTAAACTCATATAATTTGGTGTCATTTAGTCAAACTTTTAGTTGCACATACATAAATAGCAACTAGGTCTGCAGTTCAAATTTTACATGTTATTATTCGGAAAATTGTAATTTATGCCCTCACAATTATGTCAATTATTAATATCACCCTTGATTTATTAGTGGTGTAAATGTTGCCTATCAATTTTTAATACGTGACATATATTGCCCCTCCCCTGAATAATTAGTGGTGTAAATATGGTTACGTGACGTTTTCCCTGTTTGAAGACCATATACTTTTCCTCAATTTTTCTTTCTCCGTTTGTTCTCCTTCCGCCGACAATAATGTTTCTCTTTCTTCCTATTAGGGGAGAAATAATATATGTCACGTTTTAAAAATTGAATGATGATATATATTTACACCACTAATTATTCAGATATGACATTCATAATTAAAATATTTGTTAGGGAAATAAATTACAATTTTTCCTATTATTCTGTATCAAAATATTTCATCCTTTAAAAACTTGTTCAGTTCACACATGTAACAAGACCATGTATGAACGAACACATTCACTTCACACGCGTAAGAAGATCATGTATGTATACATATATACTTTTTCTTTTTTTATTCTAAACAATACATATATACTTTTAGTAACAATTTAAGTTATAACAAATGAAAAGAGAAAACAACGATAGGATCACAAGATGATCGAGTTTTATCTAAACTATACATCTAGTAGTATTTAGATTGACAATTCAAATTTTATATGTTATATCCTTTAAATATGTTCACTCCATATTCAGTATGTAACAAAATACAATTTAAATACATACATATATAAAGTTTCACTCAAAATACACTTTCAACTATCGATTGATTGATATACAGTGGAGCTCATTGATGAGGGAGTGTGAATGATAGGCATTCAGGTCACAGACCACTACTCGAAAGATCAGAGTGACCTTTTAAAATTAATAATTAGTTAATAGATATTTCAAAATTTCTGATTGTGTTCCAAACTTGGGTTTGAGCACAAGTGGTATTAGGGGCAATGTGTTTGTTATAGTACTAACAGTGTGGGCCTTCATGTGTATGTCTCCTTGTACAACATCATGTGATCATTCCGCACTCATTACATCTTTGTTCCTCATAAATTATCTTTTACTGCTACTATAGATCCATAGGTTTTACTCATACACATAAAAATAAACATTTAGATTTTTCAATAAATTTAATACCGTCATAAAAAAAAAAAAAATTTAATGTCAGGGCCAAGTGCTTATTCGGCCTTCAAGATTAAAAAAAGTTATTGTTAACATATAAGAAATTTTATTTCCTTATATTGGTATTATAGCAGTCAATAATGCCACGGTGTTCTGACCAATTGGAAACCAGGGAAATAAGGGATTTACTAGCAAGACATTTTGATTTTTCTTATTTACGTATTTGGTCTGATCTTTATGAAGGACATGATGCTATATTATCTTATGGTGGATTGGCGAATTATTGAGCAAAGCTGGATTTGATCCATGTGAATACATATTGCGCGGCAAGATGTTGGATTTAACCCATCATGGCTTCCTACTGACAACTGGTTGTATATATTGACTTTTTTAAAAAATTGATGCAATCAATAATATTGTTTCTTTATGTCACTGTCGAGTTCAGATTTGAATATGAAAATGGATATATATATATATATATATATATATATATATATATATATATATATATATATTGGTCTAAAAATAAAGTTTGGGAGTTAATAATTGTTGAGGCAAATTGTTTGACTATCTCCCCCACCCCCATTGCATGCAATTTAAATTTTCATCATTGATTTACCTACCTTAGACCACACATATATAACAGTTGCAACTTTACCCTGATCTAATTTCCAACATAATCTTCATTAACTAACGTAATTATGGGCCATAACTCATGGCATTGAATGTGTTCTTTCCTCAGCCCTCAAAGTTGAAGATAATGTAAAATTATTTTGGTGAAAAATTTTCACCACAAATATAAAATAATCGATATGTATTAGCATTTTAGTATGTAATACAATTTAATATCGATGTAAGACAAAAAGATAATTAACCAAAAAAAGGTCATTCAAAGCGCATATATACTTTATCAAGGTTTATTGAACCAGCTGGTCAGTTATATGACAACTTAGACTGATTTATCTTTTTGTGGTTCTTAATTAGCTAGGGTTACAAGGAACATACTTTAGAGTAGCAACTAGCAAGACTTTTTTTTGGTAAACCAAATTTGACTAGCATTAATCAAGCAAATTAAGCAGGCCAACCACGCATAACGGTAAGATAGAAGAAAAAACGGTCTCATGCGCGGCAGGTAGATAACGAGTGTTAAGGCAGTGATTGGGCATGTTTTACTTGTACTAATCTCATCATCCATTGACCATTATCTTTGAGAAAAAACTTCGTAGGAGAAATTAGGCTCTTGATACCATAATAAATTATGAACTTAAAAATATCCTTAACACGATGCACTCTTGTCTCTTAAGAGATGTCGGTAGTTCGAAACCCTCTCTCGTATAAAAAAAATTAATTAATCTGGCCAGCATTTTGTCCTTTAATTGATTTGGTCTGGTGTGAACGGGGATTAGTGAGTATAATACACATAATATAGGGAATGTTTAGCAATTAATGATATTATTACGTGGTAGAAATCCTTTAATTTGCACTGCACGTAGGTTGAATTAAAGCTAAATCCAAGTAGGGTTTGACATTGTAGATATAGATCAGGGCATAATCACGACACAAAACATCTTGGTCAAACTTACATTTTAGTGTAAACATGCGTGCAAATCTCATGGATTAACATCTCAAGATTGTGTTTTTTTGCATTTTAATTGTGTATTATTAATATTAATTAATATTAATTATTAAAGTAGAGGCATGCACACTGTGGAGTCAAACACGTACTACACCTTAATCTTGGCGTTCTCTGCCGACCATGCCAACTCAATAATTAATACTAGCCACTTTGTACTTTTGTGTCTCATTTTATATCCTTTTTCACTATTTAAAGGTATGTAGTAAATAAATCATCTTTCGATATAATAGTTTATAAATTATACAAAAAGGTAATTATACTAACAAAATCATGTGGGTTAGGCTCGATCAAGAAGTTATGTTCCTATATAATAGTTTGTAAATTATACAGAAAGGTAACTAATTGTACAAAGAGAATCCTATGGAATAGGCTTGATCAAGATCAAGGGTGTTGACGAGAATTGATTGTGTATTGTAATTTTAGTTATATGAAAAATTATTTGTTTATATATAATTTTAATTTTATATTAAATAATTTAGTGTCAAAATGTTATATTATAAGATATATTCAACGATGTTTAATTTGTAAGAGTTCTATCATGTTAAAGAGTTATGGGTCAAAATTTTCTCTTACTAAGCGCCAAATTATGTGGACATACCTCAAACTAAATCTGTATTAATTCGACATTGATGGGATACCATCATACTAGATGTTTTATACAAATTAGAAAAAATTATTTATTTTGCAATCCATTATTTAGTAGTATTTTAAGTTTTAACCTCCCCTATCCCAAAATTGATTTTTTTTCTCCACTTTTGATGCTTGACTTTTCAAAAGTTTCACATTTAGTCTAGAATGTAAACGTATTTTCAATATTTTTAATTTTTTTTTTTCAAAATATGTGAAATTATGTCACATGACAAATACAATTAGACAAAAGAAAGTGTGTGACTAGTTTTATTGTGAATATAAATAAATCAAATGGTACACATTGCCATATTTGATTCCCCAAACAACCAAATAGGGAGCCATGCAATTTGATTTTTTTTTTAAATTTTACATTTAATTACTTTATAGATCATGTGTGGATTGGTTTATTATATTCACAAATGTAATTAGTAAAAATAAAAATTTTTGGATGTTTCGGTCTTAAGAAGATTATATTTTTGATGATTCTCCTATAGACCTTTTAAAGATATTAACTGTGGTTGAGGGTTCAATTCTAACTTCAATGTAAAAATTGAACAGTACATTTTACTTTTTTGGTGAATTCTCGTTTCGAATTTAAAAAATAGTATAATTAATGTAATGGGGGGACTTAGGAACGAAAATTAGAGAATGATTTGAGCAAGGGAAATAGAATCTTTAAATAAATTGTGTTATAAGTTATATTTGTCAAAATCATAAAATTTGTCTCAATAATCAAAGAGAAATATATACTACCAAATCACGTGATCGGAATTGAATGACAAGGACTAGGGGGGAACTTGTCCTCTGCCTCTTGCCCTCTTGGCATGTGGATTGATACACTCATACATGAGAACTCATATGCCAAATAACTATATACTACTTGCTTTACTCTATTCATGAATTTTTGCAATACATTAATTATACCCTACATTATAAAATGTATCAAAACATCCTATATATACACTTTGGCCCGACAGAGTATTTAGAAGAATATAATTTACGGTGACTCAATGGCTCAGCATACAATGTCAAATATATACCGTTGCGCACAAGGGATCTGTCCACTTTGGGCATAATCCTCACACTGTCGCCGTCAAAGTTTAAACATTGATCTCTTCTCTCAAATACTGTCTAATGAATCATTAAGCGACAATCTTTAAAATACTGGACTTCACCAGATTTCTGTAGTCTTGTCTACATTAGCTCGTTATCTCATAAACCCGAGAATGAAGAATACGTATATAAATTATTATTGTTTCTCGAGCGATCTAGTACAAGAGCTGAACACATAGATTTGACTTTGACGTTAACTTAATTACAATATATATTATTTGGATACCAACATTTATTATGTGATAACAACATAAATTAATGGGTGTTTGGTTGAGTGAGATTGTTAGCTGCTAGGGACATAAACACAAGAGGGTATTGTCAAGACTTCCATATCACATGCCATTCCTCTCCATCTGCGACATTACGCGTGGCATAGTACCAACATTATTTAAGGACGAGATTTCCTAAACATGGCAATGAGATTTTAATAAGGGATGCAGTCTGTGGACCGTCGTCACATGCACTTGTGTTATTTCACACACACATTTAACCCTACTTTCATTTCATTGCGTCTTATATAACGTTTCATTTTATTTCTTTAATAAATTTTTGCCCATACTAGCTGCCGGACTAATTCAGATCAATTAATTCGATTAATCATTTTAAAATCTTTTTTTCAATGATAATGTGAAGATTTGAATCTCTTAACTGATCAGAGATAATGAAGACCCATTGTGTCCTGACATGATGACTTTAGGATTAATTTAGCGGAAACTAAGATACTTTATATATATAAATTTGGCCAAAGTACCTAAGAGGTTATTGTATGATGTTCTGTCGATGTAATTTGGAGTTTAAGAATAATTACTAACTATAGGAGTATCAATGCGGACTGACCCGCCCTACTGAGAATTAGGATTATGCAACCCTAACCTACCTCATGCGGGCTCGCGGGCCTAACTTAATAAATTTAAAAAGTATTATATTATTTTCTATATTTAAATAATTTAACCTAAATAATAATATTTTTTGTGTTTAAAAATTTAAAATTTTAGTTTTTTTTTTTAATTTTAATGTTTTGTGTGTGTGTATATATATCTAACGAAAGATTTGCGGCTGCTCAGCCCGCGAGGCCCGTATTTTCACAGGCAAAAAATTCTAGGCCCTAACTCTTCCTACCACGAGGCTCGTTAGGACTGGTCCGTGGGTTTTGACCCATCTTGACACTCCTAACGAACTATATTCGGTGGCAGGCTGGTTCACAATGCTTTATGTTAATTAGTAACATGCGTTTATATTTGGATAAATTATACTATAAATCATAAATAAATGTTTATTTCTAATGTATTAAATATATACCTAAAAATAAATATTCAATATCCTAAAAATG